CACAATAATTGTCTGTCGACGGCAGAAGTCGTTATTATTGTTATGATGACTCTAAACTGAGAAAGGTGTGAACAGTTCATCATAACGGTCTCTCTCTCTCCCTCTCTCTCTCTCTCTCTCTCTCTCTCTCTCTCTCTCTCTCTCTCTCTCTCTTTTTCACTCTCCCCCTCTCCTCTGTCTTTTTCATTGTCTTTTTTTTTTCATCCAGTGCTTCATAACAGCACCTGGGGCTGCACGTGAGGCGGATACCCCTCCTCTGCCCCCTTCCCAAATTTGACAGAGACCGCTATCGCCCTCTGGACCCTTCCAGCGCCCTGGGGGTGGGATGGTAACGCCCACTTTGTGAACAACTCTAGCCTGTGCACCTGGCGGCTATCGCGAGGATTACTTTGGCAGTATTCTTTAATGCGGGTGTTCGTAAACTGTCTGTATTTAATCAGGCTACATTCATTATAGATCTGACTGGGCACTTGCAAACACTTCAGTGCTGCAGACTCGATCTTAAAATATGTATATGTCCATGTCTGGAGATGAGATTTCCTCATAGATTATATACTCCTGTTTCGTGACGAAAATACACATTCGACAAGATCGTTAGCACCTCTTCACATGAGATCTTGAATTCGGAACATCTTGCCATGAAAATTCCATAACATGTAGCTAAAGAATCAGGCAGGAACATTGAACCAAAACCGACCTTACCTTTTACTGATAACTAAGGAATACACTGTAATTTGAGCTTCTTATGCCGATAGGGCTCCTTTAATTATGTTTTCCCTATTATCCTGTTGTGCCATTTTATGTTACCCGTAGTCTATTCTTCTGTTTCCTTCTGTCCTATCAATCAGTTCAATATCATTGATGGAATCAGTTCAGCAGCTTTGGCCTCTCTCATCAATGCTCGAACTAGGTTTTCTTGTGATCGTCCTCGCCTCCCTAATCCCCTTTTCCCCCATTTTCATGCCTGTTTGGTGATGCTGTGCTGGTTTCTTCTCAGGATGTATCCAATGTAGCGCCATCTTCTCTGTCTTATAAATGTTAATACTAGTGGTTGCCCAGACATTTCCTTTTTTTCTTTACCCCTTTTTGAATTCATCAAATTTTTTGTTAAATCATTGTTTTCAGACATTTGTTTTCTAATGCGTACATCTTTCGTTCCACGTCTTTAGTGATTCTCCAACTTTCATTGACATATGGTAAAACTGACACATACACACACACAAACACACACATTAGAATTGAAAATACGTAACTTGATTTTAGAACTATAAAATGTAGAATGCCATTTTTGTTTCAGCTATTAAAAGCTACTGATGCCTTCCTTGCAAATGGGTATCATAATTTATTTCTGTGTTTCCTTCACTATCAAAATTAAAACCCAAAATAAGTAAAACGATGTGTTACTTTAATTACTTTGGTCTCTAGGCTTTACATCTGCCTGATGTGTTGTTGGTGTCTTCAGTATATTTGCTTGAAATATTCATTATTCAGTTCTGAAATATTTGGAGCCGGTTCAAGACTACTAAGCAAGATGAAAATTGAATTACAAATAGAGATCTTTATTCGCTGATTTTTGTTTTGTAGAGGAGCAGACAGTCAGTTGACCAGCCCATTGCCCATCTGTCAAAAGTGCAGTATAGTTTTCACCAGGCGATATTTAATATGTCAGAAATAGAATAGAATTATACACGACCGTCTCCAGCTGACTGGAGATGGTCGTCGATTATATCACCCCGACGACTGCTTGAAAAAAAGTCACGTAGCATACCACAAAGCAGATATCTTTGATGAAGCAAAAGTAGTCATTTTTTTTCTTGTGTAAACGTACCTACAAAAAGTAAAGATTGCCATTTTTCTCCTTGTGTACATGTGTATGGTGTTCTTTCACTCGAAGGGCTGGGCTAGTGCCTATATGAAGCATGGACACATGGACACACACACATACACGTTCGCTCCTATTTATAAATAAATAAATAAATAAATAAATAAATATATATATATATATATATATATATATATATATATATATATATATATATATATATATATATACACACGTGAGCAGGCACACACACACAAACACACAAACACTCATGTTTTTGGTCAGATGGACCCGGGGATCAAGATGACATGAGGCAGAAATCCAACTCGATGCGAATTCAGCACGTGCAAATCTGGACATGACCGCGGTGCCCATTAGCTACTCAGACTGAAGGATGAGATTATAGCACGCATCTTTGTAACATATTTATCAATGACTACCACAGAACTGATGACAGGAAATAACATCTTGGAGCAGAGGTCGAATAAAAGCGGTGACAATATGAGCAGTATCAACTGGTGAGCAGCGCTGTCTCTTGGGTTGTGATGTTTTTGACATATTATTTATATTTTACTAGCTGTATCTGGCCACGCGTTGCTGTGGCATAGTTTGGCTAAATGGAAAAGAAAAAATTTAAACAATCGCCACCTTCCACCAGTATCCCCGAAGGGGTAGCTTTAGGTTATAATTATGACTAGGTTATTTGCACCATAGATACATTCTGAGCATTGCTCACCACCAAATAGCTCTGCAAGGAACTCCTGTAGTGTCGATGCGATCGCGGGAGACATACCCAAATACGGCACCAACCGGCGACGAAGACGTCTACCTTGTTGCCGACGTTTACAGGAGTGATTCCTCTTCTTTCTTATACTTCCAACGTCAGTGCTTTGTGTGCTCAGAAGACTTTTCTTTCAAATCAGGTGTTGGAAACGTGATCCGTATAGTTCACAGAGCAGCAGCAAAGCAGTAACGAATCTTGTATTCTTATACTGGATTTTAGAAAATAACCAAGTGCAAAACTGCTCTCCGCCGCCGGTTCTTGCTCCCCTATAGTGACATTTAATCGGCATCTGTGTTTTAGGCATTGCGAAAGCGTTTTGAAATTCTGAGATATGCGGTTCGATTCCAGGTGCAGCAAATTTAGCACCATCTGTTTTGTGCTGATTTCGACAAGGGCACTGAGATCCGAACGTTAAAATGCAATGGCAAACTAGTGAACGTATTTCAAATAGACAAACCCCCAAACAACCAAAAAATGCAGGGGTGGATATGTAACTAACAAACTAATGATATTAAACTTTGAAGAGCTTAAGATTACCTAGTACTACCATCAGTCTTTAAATAATTTATAATTGACTGCCTAGTATAAACTTTACAAATTAGAAAAGCTTAAATAGATCTAAAACAGAGCGTTTAAGAGCTTCTGTAGATATGGTGAGAAATATGAAAATGTTCCTAGGAACTTACGATCTCCAAGGAACCTGAAGGATTTCTAAGGAACTTACAACATTCACTTGAACTTAGAGGTACCTTGTAGTGGCTGCTGCACTGGAGGAATGAGCAGGCAAGGGAATGCTGCTTGTAATAACATTATAACACTAATTTATGAGGGTGTGGAGTATCTTGGTCACACGTGGCGAACTGATTAGGTCCATAATAATTTTTTGTCTATCACTAGCGTCCAGTTACGGTGGGAGATTGCGAGAGGGTGAGAATTAGGGAGCGGGAACCGGCGGCAGAGAGCAGTTTTGCACTTGGTTATTTTCTAAAATCCAGAATACAAGATTCGTTACTGCTTTGCTGCTGCTCTGTGAACTATACTGATCATCTTTCCATCAGCACGACATCTGATTTGAAAGACAAAATGTTAAGTTCTTGAATGCTCGCGTTTCTAAAAGATACATTAAAGTTAATAAATATCAGAGTTTTTCACTGAATACACTTAAGCTCTTCATCTCTGATATTCTGAGCAGATACTCTTGATCCACTAAATCGTTTCTTGATATTGTCAAGTTTCTGTTTGATTGAAGCACAACCACAGTTAACACTAAACCAATGGTAATACTGAAGTGTAATGGGAGCTTTGAATCACCGTGGCGTAGCAGCTAGACGCTCGCATGCTTATCGGAAGGTCGTGGGTTCGCTCCCCGACTGAGCCGGACTTTTTTGGGGGTAAAAAATGACCTTGACTCCGAGGTTGACCCAGCCTTGAGTGCGTATAAAGTGTAGTCCCGGGAAGTAAAGGCGGCTGGCGTGATGCTCACCACAACACCTATCTTGTGCCGATTGGTCTATAAAAATATATTTGTAGCCGTATATGCCCTACACGCCTAGAGGCGTGAAAATGGGGTCTTTACTGTATTTTATGGGAAGTTTAATCAGTTTTCTTCAGATACCGGAAACAAGAAGTCTTGCAGGCAAACTACCTCACTGGTTAGCAGTTTTTACCCATGTTGTCATTCCCCAGAAGAATCCTGAAATTGTACGCATTCAGCCTAAAATCAGCCGGATCGTCCATTTCAGATCATTGGGGATTTGGATGAAAATGATGGGAAAGATATGGGTGAGCTGCACGCGATGGCGCATGATGGGGCATCTTGGCTTAGTCATTTGTAGGCTAAGGAATGTTCACATGTAATTTCTCTATGTTTAGCTATGCTTATTAGACACACTGTTATAGGTACTTCCTTTACATTTTTCGGCAAAAGTCAAACACATTTTTTTTCATGCATTTCCTCCAATTTTTCTACATTAATTATGCATATATTTGTCGGTACATCAATTATTTATATTTTCTTCTGTATTTATTGTATTCAGTAGGGAGTCGCCGTGGCCGAGCGGCTAGAAGCTCGCCGCCGATCGGAAGGTCGTGGACTCGCTTTCTGGCGGAGCTGGACTATTTTCAAAAATGACCTTGGCTCCCAGGTCGACCCAGCATTGAGTGGGTACCGGGTGCAGTCCCGGGAAGTAAAGGCGGTCGGCATGATGCTGACCACATCACTCATCTTGTGCTGATTTGTCTTTAAAAATACAGGTCTAGCCCTATATGCCCTATACGCCTGAAGGCGTGGAAAAGGGTCCTTTACTTTATTTTTACTTTATTGTATTCATTTATTGCAATAATTAGCGTTGTATGTGTGTACATTTATAAATATATCAGTCACATATTTTGCAGGTATTTCCCCTTTATCTGTCAACATACATCACCGTTGCAATCAGCTTAGACCGATGTGTTGCCATTTTGGACCCTATGCGCAGAAATAGCGCCGCCCACAGAGTGCGCGTGATGATCTGCTTTGCATGGATATTCAGCGCTCTGTTTAGTATCCCACAGGTAAGTAGACTTGATTGTGCATTCCAGGTATTTGTTGCTTACATGTCTGACATGTGCTGTCTGATATATTTGGTTGTATATTCAAAACATATGTTGCTAGCATTTGCTGTCTGCTGTCTGATAGATTTTGTTGTGCATTCCAGGCATTTGTGGCCCACATGTGCTATCTGATAGATTTTGTTGTGCATTCCAGGTACTTTTGCTTACATGTGCTGTCTGATTGTTAAAACGTATCGCATGTTAAATAACTGAACTTTTTTGACATCACCGATTCTTGATGATGCTTCAGGTTATCATGGTATTAGAAGTTTGTGTGACAATGTATTTGTCGCGCGGTTATAGGCGAAATCATCTTTTTTTTTATGGAGCATAGGCAAATTTATTAAACTGCATGAAAAGACTGTTAAGTCGATGAGATTTCGCACAAACTGTTCAACTCTTTCAGTGCAACACAGCTTATTACACCTTTCTTTGTATTGCCAAAAATAATATGATGTTTCTTATGTCCTCATTCACAGATAGTTGCTTTATTAACACATTTTATCTAAATTATTAGTTTACCCATTTGTCACACTGTCTCTAGGAAGCTTTATTTAGAGCTAAATATTATTTGCTTTCAGGCTCAAATCATTAGGATATAGCGAGTTAAAATAATGACTGTTTGGCACGTCAAGCTAGAGCAGACAGGCACGGTTACTCTCAGTACAGTCTGCATTAGACAAGCACGGTTACTCTCAGTACAGCCTGCTTCAGGTACGGTTACTCTCAGTACAGCCTGCATTAGACAGGCACGGTTACTCTCAGTACAGCCTGCATCAGGCACGGCTACTCTCAGCACAGACTAAATCGGACAGGTACGGTTACTCTCAGTAGAGACTGCATCTGACAGGCACGGTTACTCTCAGTACAGCCTGCATCAGACAGGTACGGTTACTCTCAGTACTGATTGCACCAGACAGGTACGGTTACTGTCAGTACAAACTGCATCAGACAGGTACGGTTACTCTCAGTACAGCCTGCATCAGGCACGGTTACTCTCAATACAGACTGCATCAGACAGGTACGGTTACTCTCAGTCCAAATGCATTCGACAGGTACGGTTACTCTCAGTACAGACTGCATCAGACAGGCACGGTTACTCTCATTATAGCCTGCATCAGACAGGGGCGGTTACTCTCAGTACTGACTGCATCAGACAGGAGCGGTTACTCTCAGTACTGATTGCATCAGACAGGGACGGTTACTGTCAGTACTGATTGCATCAGACAGGCACGGTTACTGTCAGTACTGATTGCATCAGACAGGAGCGGTTACTCTCAGTACTAATTGCATCAGACAGGTACGGTTACCCTCAGTACAGCCTGCATCAGACAGGTACGGTTACTCTCAGTACTGATTGCATCAGACAAGTACGGTTATTGTCAGTACAAACTGCATCAGACAGGTACGGTTACTCTCAGTACAGCCTGCATCAGGCATGGTTACTCTCAGTACAGACTGCATCAGACAGGTACGGTTACTCTCAGTACAGACTGAATCAGACAGGCATGGTTACTCTTAGTACAGCCTGCATCAGACAGGCACGATTACTCTCAGTACAGACTGCATCAGACAGGTACGGTTACTGTCAGTACATACTGCATTCGACAGGTACGGTTACTGTCAGTACAGACTGCATCAGACAGGTACGGTTACTCTCAGTACAGACTGCATCAGACAGATACGGTTACTCTCAGTACAGACTGCATTCGACAGGTACAGTTACTCTCAGTACAGACTGCATCAGACAGGCACGGTTACTGTCATTATAGCCTGCATCAGACAGGGGCGGTTATTCTCAGTACAGCCTGCATCAGACAGACGTGGTACCAGTACTGACTGCATAAGACAGGTACGGTTACATTCAGATCATATTATGACAGACATATGTTGTTACTATCAGACCAAGGTATCATTAGCAGGCGCTGTTACTTTGCAAAGACACTGTCCATGGAAATGGGACATTCGATGCTCTAATGAAGATAATCAGAGGTCATGAGTTATGATCCTTCTATGGTAATAGCTGTCTGTACGTACGACGTATTGATTAAAATCATGCACGACTTCGACTTTTTAGTTTCCAAAATATCGCTGCAATTCTTTTGTTGCAAGATAAATAATTTATGAAGCGGCAAGAACTTACTGAACACACTTCAAAATACTTACGCGGAATGTTATAAATGATATCTAGTAACAATGAACATGGCAAGGTAACTCAGAAGTGTGTGAATTCGAGAAGAATCCCCCAGTGGAAACACTGTCTCTACGACCTGTTTTTACAATTTTTAAAGAGGTTAAGTGATGGGTTAGGGGTCTTGATACTGAAGATTTAGGGCCACATGGCTAACACAATCGCCACGGACTGTGCCTAGTAGATTAAGAAACAAGTCCATGTATTTTTGTTGTTGTTTTTTTTGACATAGTGAAACAAACAAACCATTCATGGAAATATGTGAACACAAGCATGTATAAAGGAAAGCGATACGATATGATGTTATTTTTCTTTGTATAAGGTACTCGCATTGTGAAAACCGCTAATACTCACTCAAAGGCCGTTTATAAGTGTCCCCACTATACACGAGTTCAGCTCTAGTATACGCAGGAGCGGTTTACTGTTTTTAATTCGTAGAAATGTTTTAGCTTCTGACAATGGTTACCCGTTGTTTTCAACCTGCCGCCTCCCCAAGATGTGGACTGAAAGTACTTAGATCCGTCGCTAAGCCACCGAGGGCAGTTCATGGTGGAACACTGTGATCTGCGGATTTAATGCTTGTCGGCCATGCCCAGCGTGGTTTGTCTTGTGAACTGCGTATCTGTCTGTCTGTCTGTCTGTCTGTCTGTCCGTCCGTCCGTCCGTCCGTCCGTCCGTCCGTCCGTCCGTCAGTCTGTCTGTCTGTCCATTCATCTGCCAATCTGTTTGTCTACCGTTGTAGCTGTATGTCTAACTGGCAGTCGGTTGGATTTGTGTCACTTTCCCCATGTCCGCCTTGTTGCCGACACACTGTGCTCCTCTGATCTGTCTAACCGACCGACTGCTGGTTGATCCGGTTGTCGTCTCGGTCAGGGAAACTGCATGCTTCTCGTTCCTACATATCTGTTTTACCTAGAACCTGGGTCCTGCCCATCTGTTTCACCGGGAGCCTGGGTGTCTTTTAACATTGACTTTCTCCTCGTTTGCCTCAATTTTTTTTATACAGACAGACAGACGGACCGACAGACGGTCAAACTGACAGACAGACTGACAGACATACACAGAGACAGAGAGACACAGAGACAGAGACAGAGAGACAGAGAGACACAGAAAGAGAGACAGAGAGACAAAGACAGAGAGAAACAGAGACACAGAGACAGAGACACAGAGACAGAGAGACAGAGAGACAGAGAGACAGAGACAGAGAGAAACAGAGACACAGAGACACGGAGACAGAGACAGAGACAGAGAGACAAAGACAGAGAGAAACAGAGACACAGAGACAGAGAGAAACAGAGACACAGAGACACGGAGACAGAGACAGAGACAGAGAGACAAAGACAGAGAGAAACAGAGACACAGAGACAGAGAGACAGAGAGACAGAGACACGGAGACAGAGACAGAGACAGAGAGACAAAGACAGAGAGAAACAGAGACACAGAGACAGAGACACAGAGACAGAGACACAGAGACAGAGAGACAGAGAGACAGAGAGAAACAGAGACACAGAGACACGGAGACAGAGACAGAGACAGAGAGACAAAGACAGAGAGACACAGAGACACAGAGACAGAGAGAAAGAGAGACACAGAGACACAGAGACAGAGACAGAGAGAAACAGAGACACAGAGACACGGAGACAGAGACAGAGACAGAGAGACAGAGACAGAGAGAAACAGAGACACAGAGACAGAGAGACAGAGACAGAGAGAAACAGAGACACAGACACACGGAGACAGAGAGACAGAGACACACATAGACAGAGAGACACAAAGACAGAGACACAGAAACAGAGACACACAAAGACAGAGACACACAGAGAGAGAAAGAGACAGACACGAAAAGGTGAAAAAAGTTATCTATTTCAAGGGTGTAATTATTTCTTCTTAGGACAAAATAACGACAGCATTGTTAATCTTCTTCTTCTTCGCGTTCACCAGCTGTAAACTCTGGCGGAAGGTTCTGGTTGCTCGTCCACTACTGAACTGCAGTCCTGCTCCAGAACCTGAGTGTTGCGTGTGCATCAGTTTTACAGATCTCATTCTCTTGAATACAGACTGTTGGTTCCTTGCCTCTCCGGCAGATGCACTCCGACTTCAAAGGAAGCTCCCCAATTAGTCGACTCTTACGACATGCTTTTGGGGAGGCAGTGGGTCTATGCTTGTTTTCCCCACAATGGGGCCCCGGAACCCACACGGGGGAGCATTGTTAATGACATATTACTTCTAATCTTGATGAGCTTTGACAAACTTGCTCACAAAGTTAAACAGTAATGCCTATGGTTTCTTCGTTTCTATCAGTGATAGAAATTGCAAATAAATGGGCTTGCAGCGGAACAATGGGTATTACACGCATGGCCAAGACGCGCTGATGAGCCGGAAATCGGAAAACATGTCCTGGAGATGTGGGCAGATGATGATATCAGAATAAAAGTGCACGTAAGCTCGTAATTGGGAATGAACTAGAATATAACCCGAAAAAGGATCCGTTGCATGATGGGATGAGAATTGAGAGAGATGTGCCAAAGGAGTGGTGGTGGCATGACGGTTGTTGTTTCAAGGCAGAAAGTGGGGTGGGAAACGGTAATTAGAAGGCACACAAAGAAGATGCTAAGGACAATAAAGAGATTAAAGAAAGAAAGCAAAAAAGAAAGAAAGAAAGAAAGAAAGAAAGAAAGAAAGAAAGAAAGAAAGAAAGAAAGAAAGAAAGAAAGAAAGAAAGAAAGAAAGAAAGAAAGAAAGAAAGAAAGAAAGAAAGAAAGAAAGAAAG